CTAACTTAAATTACATCGCCCACACTGAACGGGACGTTGGCGTCAGTGCATGCAGTCAGGCTCACGCAGTCGGGCTCGCCGTTCTCGCTGTCCCCGCTCCTTCCCGTGCCGGTTTCTGTGTCACCCATGTGCACGCGCCCAGGGTCGCACTCAGAATCCTGGTGGAGCACGAGTGACACAGGGCTTTATGGAAAACTCCTGGTGAAAGTTCCTAAGTTTTGAGCGGACCTTAAAGTTTCCTTTTCTTTCGTTTCTGTTTTTATCCACTTATTCCGACGGGCGTGTTCATGAAGGGGCCATGGAATAGGCACTGACACCACATACTTGTTTCGTTTAGGCGGCGTCGTCAGTGAAACACTGGGGCCACAGAATACTTATGGTGCGACATTCTGGTCGCACGGGCGCCAGGCCTCATGATCGATTCAGAGGCCCTCTAAGGAAACACTGGTCCCCTTTATGGCGCCGGCCGTCCTCTGATGGGAGCAGTTAGTGCGACTCAGAGTAGAGGACTTCAGTGACGCACAATAAGTTCTTGCGGGTACAGGGGATCTACTAAATGACACAGGGATCACTTTTGATAAAATCAGGCCCCTGGAAAAAAACGGAGCAAGGTCGTTTGTTGATTATTGGGCCCACTGTCCGACACATACCCATTCCATTGCGTCAATCAGTGCGGGCCCTGTTATTACCCTATTTCCTATCTCCCTTTATTGTCGGGGGACCCAAAAATGCAAGAGGCTCGCTGACATGCTAGGTTCCGTCATTGTCCCTTTCTAGCAAACGGGCCCGCTGCCGACTTGGATCCCCTTGCTGACACAGGATCCCTCGTCAGGCACTGTGGCCCCATGACAAAACACAGTGTCTCTTTTTCATCTGCGCTTACCTAGCCTCCGCGCGTACTTGCCATAAGTTCGTACCAACAGCAGGGTCACAATCAATACTTTATTCAGAGGGTGGGGCAGGCCGCAGCGAGAATGCATCACAATTATACATTTTCTTCTAAGAGCGCTGTGGTAAATATGAAGACCTGTGGGTAGGTGGAGCGCCCCTTGACTGTGCTCCTCCAAAACAATCAAACAGCAGCGACAGCAGGGTTTGAAGACTATGATCTTGTAGGCAGGGGTCGGTTGTGAGTTTGTGAGGGCCCTTTGTGAGTTTGTGAGGGCCCTCGTTTGACACCCGTCTACCTTATTTGGTTGCCCCCTTCACAAGTCGTTTGACCTCAATGCTACAAAATGTCAGGAAAATATAAATATCACAGGGATCTTCTTCAGACATGACCTGCGGTTCATGACCGTTCCATTAAGATAAAGGACTATTCCGTGCCATCAACTTGAAAAACAACCGTAATCAAAATCGAGTGGCCTAAGAGCCGGCGAGAAATGCATCTAGAGCGAAGTTTATTCATAAACACCGTGGTTTGTTCACAGTTCCTCACAAGGGCGTAATGTCGCTGAATAATTTGTTGGGGGGGGGGGGGCGGGAAATGGCTCACGCTATCACAAAATATGTATTTCACCTAGGTCCTAGGTCATCCCCGATGATTTAGAAAAGCTGACGCCCCTGCTTGCAGGATAAAAGAAACACTAACCGAACCAGTACGACTTTGCTTGCTACTTTCAATCAAAACTTTATTAATTCCTTGCCTCCAATCACTTTGAATGCTGCATCTACCCTACGTTTCCGCTACGCCACCGCGATCGAGACAGCAGCGGCAGGGGCCTATGACACAGGGACACCAGTGACGTCATTGCCCTGTGCTGAATGGCACGGGATTCCACCAATAGGAAATCCAACGATGCCCCCACCCCCCTCCCCTCCAGTGTTTCACCCGCCAGCTGATGTTGCCAATGTCCGACGGGCGCACAACAAATTATGCTAAGGATAATCGTAAATACCGCGGTTTGCAAACAAAAACAAAAGAAATGTATCGGAAGTGTCAAGGAGCAGAATATTACGTTCCCCAATACCAGTAATCAAGTACATTTATCACTGTATTCACCGTGCGTCTTAGTTTTAAGCAGAAGTAAACAAACAATATTGGCACCGTCATGGCAAACAGCGAAACGGTGACTCATTGGACCAGCATAATACTAGTGTTCTGTATGATAGGCACCTACATTCCACTTACATACATGGGATTCATGCATCGTTCACACCCGGTGATAGCTGTCCCTGTTTGGCGTCAACGTGAATGGCGTCGCATGCCCGCAGTTCGACAGGATGGCATGCCGGTTTTCACTTGCATGGGTAGAAACTAAACTTAAAATTAAGACATTTCATAACCTATTTGTACAGCCATTTCATCCCGGCAGTGACTTGGATGCCAGTAGGCCTACTCACGGAAAATGACCACCTTCCTATCAGTACCCTCCCACCCCTGAAACGCGCTAGCACAAGGCAACGCAGGATTTCGATGGGGTCGGTGCGGCTGCCATGGCCATTTATAGTGATGGGTAATAGCGCAAAGGAATGAATTTGCTGCACGCTTGGTTGCACGGGCCATACGCAGAGTTAAAGATGATTAAATCCATCAACACCATCACTGGGTCACTTCATCTGAGCGTTGCGTTCTGCGAGCTTGTTTGTCCTTCCACTTCCTCCGATTACTTGTTTATTTTGCCCCAGGGGATCCTTGCCAGCCTCCTTCTGCGAGCTTTGCGTCCACAATCCATTTTCGCTAGTGGCATTGCCTTAAGCTTACGATCACCTATTCTACAACGGGGTAGGCCATCGTTGATTTGTAGCTGTAATTTGTACTTTTAATCTTACAAATGCACCGCGGCTGGAAAATCAGCTGGCCTTTATGAAACATACCAAGATACGGTTGTAGAAATTCTCGAGAGATTTGTCAATTTTTGTGTGTGGTTTTGTAGGTTTGTAATTTGTAGTTGTTGTTTGTAGGTTTCTGCTTCATGAAACACATTTTTACAACCACACATACAAATTTACAAACTACAATACAATTGTACAGAAAAACTGCCTCTGTGAGAAATGCTACAGGTTGTCGCACACCCTACGGCAACTCGCGCCGTCAAGCATCTGTATAATTGTACAGCATCGTATATGTCAGGCTGTCATTAAAAGTGGGTGGCGCAACAGCACGGTTTGTAAAAGTAATAACAGTGATAAGGATATTCCATATGTTGTCAGTTGAAGTAAATGTGTCATTGATATGGTGTTGGTTTAATATCAATCGTGTTGTAGGCGGATGTGGCATGCTATATTGGCTGTACATGTGCCATAAATGTGCCAAAGCTCAATGTTTCCCTGTGTGTGTAAAACTATAATGTGCAATAAACCTTCAAGAAGACCAATTCTCGGCGCGGCCCGTCCTAGCCTGAACGTGGTCCGTCCAAACCTTGATGTCAACTGACCTTCGGGTCAACCGCTGCCACCGGCTGCAGGCCATCGCAGTCCAGGGACGCGTAGCGATCGTTTGAGGCGACTCGATCCCTCCCCCCCCCCCCCCCCCGGAGGGCGAGTCCAATCATAATTATTCTTTACCCGCCTGTGTTAGCGGAACCGACGCGCGGGTGGTGCTTGAAAAGTGAATATTGGCCAACTTCGGGCCTTGGAAGGCCTGGCCACCTGAGTTGACGAAATCAATGGAACTGAAACGGTTCATGTTTTTGGTGATCGTAAACAAAGTATTGCGAAAACGCGCACTTTCCGTGGGGATATTGCTCAGCGTGAACTGGGTGTGCATAATGTCGCTTTCAATGCCTGTCTATTTAAGCCCCAGTGCAGTATTTCAAACAGGATTTAACAAGGAGCCATGATCGCTTCCTGGTCGGCTTCTGACAATCGCTGTGGGTCGAACAGTGTCCAGCTTGCTTAGCCTTTTGTCGATGGAACACCCGCCTGCAACACACAGCTGGGCACGTCCTTACCTTCCCTGACTGCCGGGATATGCCATTATTCACCAACCTTTACCTAAACCTTAAACTGTCTAAAAACTGGTGGATGCGTGGCCTGCTCTTGATTGGAGGAGCCCGGCTGTACACACCGATCCAGAGCTTGGCCATTGCGGTCGCCCTCTCTGATCTCCGTTACCATGTGTCCGCCTGATGCTGCTGCTGCGCCCAGATGTTGAACCTGCGTTATCGGCATCTAGGCGCAATTTAAGACGGTCGTGCGCTTTTTTCATGATTCACATGGTTGATGTTTCCGTACTAATGGAGCATGAGGGCAGCGTACTATTTACGTTGCCATGCTACATGCAAATCCTGCCTGTCAAACACCTTGCATGCCTCTTGATCGGACCTGATCATCATGACCTGCCTTGACACGCCGGAAAACGGCTTAACTTTCAAAGAGTTGCGTTCCTCATTGCAGAAAACTGCATGAAGCTGCCATCAGCAGCTGCAAAGATATCATCAGAGAGATCAGAGATATCAGCTGCAGAGATATCATCAGACCATCAGAAGCAAGGCCGATTCGGCCGAGTTGATCTCAAGCGTTTCCCTGCTGAGGTCGGCTGATGCTGGGACAAGCATGCTTAGCAGCCTGGCTAGGGATACTGATATTTGTGAAGATGCTGCCAGCAAAACTCCATGGGGTGCACACTGATTACGCAGAAGAGAAAGGCCTATAGCAGGACCAAACGTTTGAAATATGAACTAGATACCTCTAGGACGGCTCGAATAACAGCCGTGCCGCAGAACGAAAAGTTTGCCTGCTGTTTAACACATACTGTAGTGCGGTTGCCAGTTTGTATCATTTTGTGAAAGCCCTGCCCGCCCCCAATGTTGAGTTATATGTATGTGTACGCATGTAGTACATACATATGTACTACACCGCATGCATAGGAATGCAGTATCCACATAACACGTACTGCGCATGCGCAGAGTATGCAGTAGCCACGACAAACGGGTCCTTCCGTAAAGGTAATGACACACTGCTCCTCAAAAGTTGACAGGTGCCCGGAGGTAAGAGCCTTCTGTACAGCTCAGCTCTTAGAAGATGGTGTTGCCTGTCTCGGCTGGTCTCAGTCATACCTGCGAGCCGGTAATGATGACACTCTTCCCCAAGTTCTCCAGCATGAAGGACAGCGCCGAGGCCGTGTACGCCATCGTGTCGGTTCCGTGGAGGATTACGAAGCCATCAAACCAGTTGTAGGCTTGCTGGAAGGCAAACGCATTTGTTTCAGTGCGAGCGGTGTGGTTGGGACTTCGCCGGAGTCCCTGAAGCAGCCCATTTGGATGGGCTGCGCTCTCAAGCGCGTCCATTGATTCAAGTCGCATCTTCACGGCGTCTCGTCACTGCGAAAGCATGCTCAGACCGTCAACCATGAGTCTGCCTCCCCGCCGGCCTGGATGGCAGTCATGCTAGGGCAAGTGCCAAGATCGCTGGGTTCCTGTGGACCAAGCGGAGGTCAAGCCTAGGTATGGAGGCAACACAGGAGACCGACAGCATGCCCCGTCATACGTGTTTCCTTAAGCCCACAGCTCCGAAAAAAATACTTTCAAACCCGAAAGGTTCTGTCTTAATGAAAAAAAAACGGTTCTGCTCATTTCCTTTCCATAGCATCATAGGAAGAGGGGGAACTGTGCTGTGATAATGCAGAAAATCTGCGCAGGTTTACAGTTCTAATCTTCCCTTTGTACACCATCCTACCATAAGCACGCCTACGACCTCGCGTGTGTAAAGCATACACTGCTTGGCTTAGGCCCTCGACAACGACATCTGGAGCGGTGGAACTAGCTGCCTTTCGTCTGTCCTACCTTGACGTCCTTGGCTATCCGGATCCAGTCGTCCATAGTCATGTTGCTGGAGTCCAGCAGCGGGTCATACTCGTACACAGTATAGATGACTCTGGAGTCTGAGGCGTTGGCAGGCCTGCGGCGAGGTAAGCAGCACGCTCACTTCTGGTATCACAGAGGTTTGGTGCACCATTTAGGCGGCGGCAGGGGAGCAGGCGCCGACATGCGTCTGGAGATGACTGTAAGGACCAGGCATGCCAACTTCTAAAATCGGATGGGGGCTAAGTCGATAGCGTCGATCTAACCTACCCCAAAAACTCATTTCTCCCCAGATTCTGGTCACATTAGTTGATGCCCCTGATGTCAAAACAGTTGTTTTTAATGTGGTCCATTCCAGCAATGTTTTTCTGCTCAGGAACTTCTCTCCTTGCAAGCAACTGTGAATTCGATTTCTGGGAACAGCTTAGGCTGGAGTGTAATCATAGAACAAATAATCCTGGTAAATCGATCGGTTGTAAGCGAAACTGGATGCGTTTTTGGTTCATCAAAGGTGCCCGACCTTCAAAAAGACGGGTTTCAAGAATGGTTGCTTCATACAGAATGAGAAGACCGTTCTATGCAGAATGGCGTGTTCTGACATGTTCATATTAGAAACCGAGGAAAATGCTTCGGGTACGTTCCAGGCTTTATTTACATATAAACGCGAAAGTGAGCTTGCACGACCATCTCAACAGACACGTCGATAACTGGAAGGACATAGTAGTAAAGTACAGGCTGGCAGCCGGACGAGTCACCGAGCGGGCAAGCTAATGTTTGGCGCTACCAACGCCTTGACGTGTGCAGAAGGTTACCATAAGCAAGAAGCGTGTTGAGCTCCTGGTGTTGTGGCGTTGTGAGTGGGGAGTTCTTGTGTTGAAAATTATCGACCTTTAGTGTAACAGTCCTGCAGAGGGCTGTTATTGTCCCGATCGACGTCCTATCTCGTGAAAAACCTGTCGACATTTGCAAACTAGCATTAGCATACGAGAACGTTTGCATGCCAAAAACTTGATGTATGTCTGTAACTGCAAGACTAGTACAGCAACAGTTTTTCAGAGGTATAAATGTTCTGCATTTCTTTGTCACAGTATTCACTATTTTGCCCATATGCATTGGAGGGCTAGAAAGGCATTGCAGGGAGGGAGAGAGCTCAAATCGGCATTACGGGGCCCAGTCCTTTCCCTGAAAGCATATCAAGTGACGCCCTTGGTAAGAACCAGGCTTATGATACGTATATGAAGCAAGGCTTGAATGAGCTCAGTGATTGGGGCATTCAGAGGTCACTAATGATATCGCATGCCGTTGAGGCACGGAGCGTGAACATTAGTATAAGACCCATCAAATATCCGTCCAGAAATGGCAGCTATAACTTCGTAAAAGAGCACGTCGATGAGACACGCGTTATGCAAGATTATGACGTTGCGTGCGATGTCTAAAAAACGCCTTCGAGTTATCATCCACAAATCGTCACGCTTTAAAAAAAACAGCCAAATCAGTTGCAAAACAGTCTTCACATTCATGGTTAAAGTGAACCTTTTTCTGCTTGGCGTCAGGTAAAAGACAAATGTGCACCACCACGGGCCGCAAAAGACGCTTGACGTATCTGAAAACCTCGGGAGCACGCGTCCTGACTGCGTTGGCATAGATCAGGGAGGGGGAGGAGGGGGGGGGGGGGGGGGGAGGCATGGCACGTCGGCAGGCCGCAGCCGACTTGCGGGTCGATCTCTGGGCAGCCAACGACATTCCGGGCGACTGGGGGCGCGACCAATCACCGCGCAGTGCGGCGGGGGCCTGGCGCGCGGCCGTTTTGGTAGCGCTTGCGCAACGGTGTCGTTGCCAAGAGGTCATTCGATGCGGCGCGCCCGTCGACTGAACATGTATGCCGTGGAGTAGGCGGTTCGAGCCAGCTGTATCGGCGACGCCGCCGGTGCAGCGGGCTGATCCGGGCTCAGGTGGCAGAGGGTTGATGGCCGCACGTGCGTCGATGAAACGGAGGGGGGGGGGGGAACGCCGGGTGGGGGCGAGCGTGGGCTCGGCAGCACCTGTCGCGCTCAGCAGGTACTAGTCGGGGCCAAGGCCGTCGATGTCACGCGTCCCCGACGGAGGAGAGTTTTACGTCGCGAAGTGGTGAGGTTCGGCATGAACGTTCGGGATGTATATGGTTCAGTCAGATGGACGGCGGCTCGGACTGCGCGCCCAACCCAGCCGGCAGTGGGCCCACGTGGGCCGCCGCCTCCGTCTGAGTGCGCTGCAGGGCGGGGAGACAGAGGAATGCCACCGATGCGACGCGGGCTCGTCTCCTGAAGTATGTGGCGACGTCTGCAAGACATTATCGACAAACATAGCATCTCCAACTGGTCAGCCAAGTTCAGCTCGCAATACAACCCCGCGCTCGCTACCGCGACCATATTTATCAATTCGAGAAGTGCTACTGACATTCATATCAAACAGTGCAATAATATCAACAGAAAGTAAGAAAAAGTAGGAAGCGCGAGAGCTTAACGGATGCATTATCTGGACGAATTTTGTTTTGAAGTGCAAAGTCATTTACTCCAATCAGATCGCACTTTCACATATACAACGTGCAGGATGGCTCTGTCCAAGTGTGTGCCACCATGAGAAATTCAGCACTGGGATATGTCAGCTTATCATCATACATATATTACCACAAACGCAGAGACGTCAGACATCCACAGCTACCCCCCTTAACATAACAAGTCCTTCGCCGCGAGCCTGAGATATTTTACCTCGCAGGCAGTGCGAAAAAAGTCAAGGCACATTTGCGTTGTTTGAGCCATCTAACACGCTAGAGTCACCCATCAAAAGATTCTCGGATTAGTTAACATTTACAGTCTAAAACGTGCTCCGATTTCACTAGCTAGGATTAACCAGCGATTTTCAGCTAAGGCTAGCATTTTCATAACCATATAAATGATTGGGCTATTGCGACTCCGGTAATGTCGCAAGAATGAAGTCATGTTGCATCGATAACACCCGCTGTAAGCAGCAGTTTTAAGCCTACATTCCTATAGCTTGCCGAGCTTCTCCGTTCTCAAAGTTTATAAGCGTGAACGGTGAACACCAACAGTGATGCAGTATAGATTCAACAGTTTCAACACCTTCCAGTTCCGCATGAATTTTCCATCAAGCCCCCATGATTAATTCGTATATCATCGTATATAATAATCATGTTACTTCACACCTGGCCGTCAGAGATATACAGACGGCAGCAATCGATCATGGCAGCTGGGTCTGCTGACGTGTAGGTCAGGTCAACATATTCCAGACGCCGGTGGGGCCTGGCTTACTTCCGGCCCCGGCCACGCCCGGTCGTCAGTGGCCTGGGCGAACGAGACTGCACTCACACGACATTGCCGGTCACGGTCACGCTCCCGGTCACGGTCACGGCCACGGTCCTCGTCACGGACAAGGTCACGGTCACGGTCACAGTCACAGTCACAGTCACGGTCACGGTCACGGTCACAGTCACGGCCACGCTCCCGGTCACGGCCACGGCCATGGTCATCATCACGGCTAAGGTCACGGTCACGGTCACAGTCACGATCACGCTCCCGGCCACGGTCACGGCCGTGGTCACCATTACTATCACGATCACGATCACGATCACGGCCACAGCCACATTCACGGCCACGGCCACGGCCACGGTCACAGTCACGACCATAGTCACAGTCACGGTCACGGTCACGGTCACGGTCGCGGTCACGACCACGGTCACGGTCACAGTCTCGGTCTCGGTCACGGTCACGGCCACGGTCACGGTCACGGTCATGGTCACAGTCACGGTCACGGCCACGGTCACGGTCACGGTCACAGTCACGGTCACGGTCACGGTCACGGTCACGGTCACGGTCACGGTCACGGTCACGGTCACGGTCACGGTCACGGTCACGTTCATGGTCATGAGCATGATCACGGTCATGGCTACGGTCGCGGTCTCAGTCCTGGTCACGGTCACAGTCACAATCACGGTCACTGCGTTCTTTTAGCATTGTTGGGAATTCATCGTTTCGGAATTAAGTAAAACTTTCAGACAGCAAGGGAGAAGTGCTTCGCGGGGCGCGGCGGAGAAATTATGCAGTTTAATAATACGCAATCTTCCATACCAACTTATTTTGCAGGCTGGTAACCTGTCACTTTTATCATTTTGTTATGCCAATAACAAACTATCTCTCATAAAGCTAAGCCAGCTGAAATAATGTGACATATATCCATTCAACGGAAGGCTACCCTCTTAATGATGAGCATGCACGTGGTCCTGTTAATAGCACATTCATTTTCTACTTAAGGTACGACAATATTATCCTTGCTGTTATTTCTTCAGCACGTTTTATGTATCTAACTGAAGCAGTTTACTTTTAACCTCAATCTCATGTACGTGTTGGTGAATGTGGATTGTTCATTAGTCAAGTTAATAAAAAACCGTGTTTGCTCTCACCGCCAGATAAAAAGCGTAACCGCTAAGCGGATAAGCAATGCAATAAATCTTACATACCTTGGGTTCTAAGATGCGCCAAGACTTGCGGGCCTAAACTGAAAAGCTCCGGAGCACAGCTTTCATAATGTTTACATTCTGCTTAAATTGGATGCCATTGTTTAATGACACACATATCTAAAACATGACTTGTCCTTTGTCAAAACAACGTGGGATAGATCCATTGAAAAATGGGAGGGGAAGCATCATTGGGCCCTCGGCTCGGCCCCCAAATCATTTTCAAAACTGACACTCTACCCCATCGCTCCTGCCTTTCCCAGTGCACGAAACGGACTGAATCAATCAGTGCTCCGCGTGGTCCGGTCCTGGCTGGATCAGTCATTGCTCCGCGCGGTCCGGTTCTGGCTGGACCAATCAGCGCGCCGCGTGGTCCGGTCCGGTTCGCGTGGTCCGGTCCGGTTCGCGTGGTTCGGTTCGGTTCGGCGGATTTGATGGCGTTCGGGTCAGAGCTAAATGCCACGTGCAGATTTGGAGGCGTCCATTTTTCTAATCTAAATACAATTTGTGGTTTTGGAATGGCTGACATTGTCAGTTCGCAGGCTGACTTAAACGGATGGAAATGGCTGCTCTATGCAAACGCCGAAGTTAATGGTACTTTACTATCAAGCGAGTTGTCATCGCCTTCACCTTACACTTAAGCTCACGTGCGAGCACAAACAACTTTAAAACAAGTCCACAACTGAAAATACCTCTAGAAGACTTACGGCAGCACAAGAGCGGCCGTGTCCGCCTGTCGGAAGCGTTGCCCCGCGTACTCCCGGTCGTGCATGTTGGGGTACGTTCTCAGCCGGTTCTCCATGACGCCTGGGCAGGGGGCCAGCACTGCGGAACGAGGTCACAGTCAGGGCACGCCGGCCAGGAAGAGGTCAGGGTCAAAGCATCGCGTACATGGCACGGCCAGACCGCGAACACCATGCCACCGGGATCTGAGTCCGTGGCGCACAACCGACCCTGCATGAACAGCTCACCGAGGGCAGACAGAGGGGCGGCTGCGTGGTATCAACGGTGTCCGTAAGTTGAATGTCGATGGTCCCCATTGCGCCTGGCTGCTGACCGCTTGATGTGGCAATATAGCCAAACGTTCAGAGCACGCGACAACGATCCAGTTAAAGGGACTGTTTCATCTTTGAAGATATTGAAGCAAACATCAGATGTCATGAAACAATCTCACTTTCAACTACTGGTACATTTTCAAGTAGAAAAGACTACCCTAGACAACACAGTTTCTCTGCTTAGTTAAAGGGAGTGTTCCACATTTATATGGGGTTATGAAATGAAATAGCCATCTTGAAGGCCTTTCGGTGCTGTTCACAATCCTGTCCTTACTAAGACCTAGGCCTCACCAGCTTCTGAGCTACACCCCCGCGAAAATGGGAAAAGTATGTCAGGGAGAGTATTTCAAAGTCTTCGTAGCATTCATGACGTTCTAAACTTCTTAAGATCTTGTCACTCCATAAGCCATGCGGCGATCAGGTAAGACGTTTAATTGTCGAGGCGTTCATATCTGGCGTTGGTGAGCGCCATGTTGTGCAAAGTACGATTATGTAATCAAACCATGATGCAATGAGCCTGCTGCCTAAAGCAGTCCTTTCCACGTGAAAAGTATACTTATACTTAAAAAGTATGAGTGAGCTTGTTTTATGATATCTGATGCTTACTCCAATATTCTCGAGATGAAACATTCTCCTTAATATGTTTCTCAATACGTAATTGTTTGGTTACGTCATCGTGTCATGCACAACATCGATTGAGAGGCAACTCACGACCGTAACGTCTGGAAATTGTGCTCACGAACACTAGATATAAACGACTCGAGTATCACATTTGTATTTGATCTAATCGTCGCATGACTTATTGAATGGCAGGATTTGAATTATATTTTATGACGGGGTGAGGCTGCGAACTGCACCGAACGATCTTCAAGATGGCTATTCCAGTTCAACATCCCATACAAATGTAGGACATTCCCTTGAACAAATACCAACATCGTCTTGCAGGGAAAGACGCAGGATAAAACATGGGCCGCGCCAACTCAAGCGAATTTTATTCCTCGAGCATACAATGGACAGCACTCACATGATTGCGGTTATGAGCTCACCCCCTCCCCCCCCCCCTCTCCAGCTAGCGTCGCTGTGGGCGTGTTTGGCCGACATGTGGCTCGCATGGGCGGATTCTGGCCGCATCGGACCGGGTGTCCCATCCGCAGGCCATGTGCCCCATCCCATGAATGTGACACCAGCCCTGCGCTCGATTGCATCACCCTGGGGGGCGGGGCGAGACGGAAGTGGCGCCCCGTCAGATGAGGCCGCTGAGGCCTCGGTGGCCGCCCATTTCTGGCCACGTGCCACGACATGGGCTAAAGGGGTCCCGACCCTGTGGTTCCGGGGTGTGACACGACACGTGGCTCCGGGACGTGGCCCGACCCCGTGGCTCCGGGGGGTGGCCATGAGGCCCGGCCCGCGACGCGGACACACCATGCCGGCGGAAGTGGTGGGTTCGTTCGGTGCTCTTATGAGGAAGTCGTGATGTTCATGGCTTTCCAATGGAGGCCAGGGACAGAAGGAAAGGGTCTTCTAAGGCCACGCGGCATTTATGGCCGGCTGTTCCGACGTCTGGACCCACTAAGCGAACATCTAACCTGAAAGCGGGAGAGGCTTGCTCTCGGGTGCTTTGCTGTCCAAAAGACACATGTTAATGTCACGTGTCAAACGTTAAAAATAGAATGGCCTGTCATGCTTC